TTTTTATTTAGCGATGGAAAATATCTACGACACCAACTTTTAATCAGAATCCATTCCGAGATGGTAATGATAAAGAAACAACTCAACAAATGTTGAACGAAGATACAACAGCTATGACAAAGCTCTAATTATAGCTACTCTCTTTCTATCGGTTGCTCGCTCTTTTCTTTCTTTTTTTCACGCAATAATCTAGTCATTATTATCAATTCATAGATTGTAGAGTTAGTCGAGATACATATCTATATATATTTCTATACGTACATATAGATATCTAGATATCAATAATCTATCAATAGGCACGCTTTGCTTCTATCAACAAACTCGTTAAAAGTCGATGATTAAAGCATAAATAAAATAAAAGACACGTACATTAGCTGATGACCTTGGGCTCAATCATCTTGTTCTTTCTCTACATTCGGAACGATCAACGAAAGAAGAAAAAAAAATGAAGAGAACAGTTGATGATGGCCAGTGCTATGTGCTGTTCAATGTTGACTTATGGCTCTGTGACCTCGTGCTGATGTTGAACATCGACGAGGCGAATGTAAGAAGAAGAAAAAGAAGAAAAAACATACGTACCTTTTTCTCTCGAATTTTTTTCTCGTCTTAATATGTCGTCGAACCATCCTCGTTTACTCTTCTTACCATAACCAACATATTTCACTCTGCTTTTTCTCTCTCTCTTCACATCTCTAAATGTTTTTATAATGAACAAGTGAGTAAGACAAACTAGATTAAATCCATATCTATTATTTAAACATATTTTTTGTCGTTTTTCTTTGTCTTTGATACAGATTGGAAACTATAGTGTGATTTTTTTCCGTGACAGCCGACATACATATACATATATATAGTGGTGGCAGAATAAGAAATAGAAAAGAAACACGAATATGTGTACATATCTAGTAGCAACCAGACAATAAACAATGAAACCTGTTCTGTTGAACAATTTATAAGAAAAAAAGGTAAAGTATATAGGATTCAAACTCATTACTAAATAATCCCGTCAAACCTTGCACGTATTCAATTATACCTAAACAATATGGAGAGAAAAAAAATGTAAAAACATACACTGCATCAGCATTTTTAACCTTTCCTTTTTTCCTCTCTCTCTCTCTCCTTCTCTTTCTTCTGTACGGTTTCGTTAGTCGATGACGAAACATAGTGTACGATCGAATTATATGTATATGGGTTCAACTGAACTAAATAACAAAAGAATTCACGTTTGTCTTGTGAAATTTTTAGATGAGTACAACATTGGCAATTCCTGATTTAACTCATTCCACTCGATTAGTTCTATCTGACCTTGAAGCCTTACGACATGAACATAATTTAGTACTCTCATCAACAGTCGACGACGATAAATCTCAACGTCTTCAGCAATCACTTGAATCAATCGATTTGGGTATTGATGAAGCAGTTGTTATGTTACAACTTGATAATCATTTAGACAATCTCGATAGTGAAATACATAAATTAATGTTACAAGTCCAAAGGCTAACACAAGAAAATAGTTGGCTACGTGATGAACTTTCACTAACAGAAAAACATTTACAAACAAGTACACAACTGCAACAAGATTATGAACATGATATTCATCTATTAAATGAATCATTAATAGCATCACCATCCAAATCGGAGAATCTCAATATAGAAAATCAAATCGATATTGATACAGATCTGCTCAATGAAGCAAAAGATCAAATAATAAATACGAATATTCATATGAATGGGGACACAAAAAATCATTCGGAAATTCCACCACGTTTTCGTACTTTACATAATCTTGTTATACAATATGCTCAAGCTGGTCGATATGAAGTTGCTGTACCACTATGTCGACAGGCGCTTGAAGATCTTGAAAAAACTCATGGTCATACACATCCAGATGTAGCTACCATGCTTAATATACTTGCATTAGTGTATCGTGACCAAAATAAATTTAAAGAAGCATTAAACTTACTCACACAAGCTTTAACTATACGAGAAAAAACGCTAGGGCACGATCATCCAGCTGTTGCTGCAACATTAAATAATTTAGCTGTACTCTACGGAAAAAAGAATCGATATAAAGAAGCAGGTAATATTTGTATTTACATCACGAAAGATTAAAGTCATGTTCTTTAATTAACATAGAACCATTATGTAAGCGTGCATTAGAAATACGAGAGAAATATTTCGGTATAAATCATCCCGATGTTGGTAAACAATTAAATAACTTAGCATTACTATGTCTTAATCAAGGTAAATATGATAAAGTTGAAGAATACTATAAACGTGCTATTGATATATATACAAATTATTATGGTAAAAGCGATTCGAATGTAACGAAAACAAAAAGTAATCTTGCATCAGCATATTTACGTGATGGAAAATATAAATTAGCTATTGAATTATACGAAGAAATTTTATCTGAATCTCAGTCAACATCCAATGAACAGTCACAATCATCGAATTCAAATCGAGACACCACAACAATTATCACAACACTGAAAAATCTTGGTAAGTTCTTCGTTTTACTTCATTAAGATTTCAATTTAATAAATTTTAGGAGCACTTTGCCGTCGAATGAATCTCTCTGAGCAAGCAGACATATTTGAATTGTGTGCATCGAAAGCTTTACAAAATCCATCCGAAATGATTCCTCGAGCATTGACTGCCTTACGACAAATTCGAACACCTGATGATATTAATCATCAAGCGATGCGACGTTCTCAAACATCGAGTTCACAAGAATATGGAAAATTGCGTCGTAGTGGTTCATTTCAAAAATTACGTCAAAGTATTCGACGCGGTTCAGAAAAACTTGTACAAAAACTTCGTGGAACACCATCAAATCTTCCTTCGTTTAATTCAATGCAATTTCAACAACAAGATTCAACAATGAAACGTGCATCGTCAATGTCGGTTTTAAACAATGATTCACCGTCTTATCCTCTTCAACAACAGCAAACAAATCGGACGTTAACAAATACATATTCTATAGATCAACAACAAAGTAAACAACAATTTATTCCTCCTTCTCGTGGTCGATTGGCCAGTGCAGAAAACATTCATTGATAATTTATTCGAATGAAATTTCACACTAGTCATAAAATTATGAATATGTCTCTTTTTTTTTAAAACATTCCATATGCTTCATGTCGTTGAACACTACCCTAAAACATATTTCTTTTGTTCTGTGTGCTCCGTTGAAATACCGAAGGAAATTTAAATTGTTATATTGTATATCTTTTTTTTTCTTTAAAATCAAAAAATAATTGAGCGGGTGTTGATATTTATTAATTATTTATTTATTTATTTATTTAATGGTGTCTATTAAACGATACAATGGTTCGAATCAACGTTGTACGACATTATTTCTTGACAAATTTGCACATCGAGATCAAGTATATAGTTTAAAATGATTTAAAATCGTTTTCGATTTATTATGTTTCTCGTAGTATGGCTTTTTAAAAGATGTACGACAAGAAAAAATTGAAGATTTTACATCGATTAATTCTATTTCTTCATTAGACAATGACCGATGTAAAAATGAAATGAAAGAAAAAAACTATTTCTTAAGAATTTGCAAAAATTGATTTGTGTTTCAGTGGATGCTGAACTAGATAGAATTAATACAGAACTAGCAGATATGTTACGTGGTCTTGAATTGAGAAAACGTGCGTACTATGTTAATATGCCTAACTTTGTCTATGTTGTTGGTATGATTAGATTTGTCAGCATTTTAACTGATTATGAAATTGTGTTTCGTAGGAGGTTATCTATTTGATCCAATACAAAAAGAACGACGAGCACCATCCAATGATTGGAGATGGGATATTGAAGAAAAAAAACTCGAAAAAATTCCGCCTATACCACCAGGTCATGGGCGCATTAATTTTGGCATTGCAGCTAATAATGGTGGATTGACGAATGTTGATTTCTCTGTTGATTTGATGAAAGATTTTTCTTTTTTTAATAGGCAAATTAGTCGTCATCGGAGGAAATACAATAATAAATAGGTATACAAAAAAGAAGTTTTTCTATGCTTATAAATGCATAGATTTGTTGTCTAGACCGACAGATACATGTTACATATACGGACAAAATGATGATCAATGGGAAATGTTACCATCTTTACCGAATCCATTATGTGGTAAGAATGCATATTGCATAGTTCAATTAATGACGAACAAAAGCAAATAGTGTTAATGATTGGCAATTTCCCTAAGAATAGTTCATTAGTTTCCAGATCAATTATTCCGGAATAAGTTTTCATATGAGTAGAAGTTAGCTATGTGAAAGTAATAGAAACTGTATGTCGCTTTTAAACTGCCGTAACCTTAGTCAATAAGCAGAGACAAATTGTTCGAGTCCTGATCCTTGATTGATTGATCAATTATCAATTAAAGCTAGAATAACAATAGTAAAATATTCTCGACACTATTAATATGGTTAAAAGGTCAACTCGTTGCGTAATATTGAAAGTGGTTGAGGTACTCATTAAAATTTCAACTCCAAACATTCCCTGAAGTGTTACAAGATTGGATATCTAGAGAATTTACTGGTTGCATAGATTGTTTTTTTTTTGCAAGAACGATATTTACCTTCACCTTCATAATTTTTCAAGCTAACAGAGAAATCACACAACGATGAATCTGAACTTACAAAATATTGACGTTTTTCAATTATGATATTTTAGAAGCATTGATTTTGTATTGACCATTTTCATAGGTCCTGCTGTAGCACTTGATGATAAAGATTGTTTGTATGTATTTGGTGGCTATGATTTACTTGCTGGTCATACTCTATTTCGTAATGATTTCTTAAAGCTTGAAGATTTATCATCGGAAAAGTACAAAAGATTTATTGTTGTTTTTTTACTATTACGTTGAGAAAAAACATAATCTATTTAGATGGACAATATTAAAAAACTCATGTAAAATTGAAAACAAATCTCTAATGATTTCACCTCGAGCGCGCACTCTACTTGTTGCATGCGGTAACGATGTAATACCACCTGATGGTGGACTTTTCGCATGTGGTGGCTATGCGAAATCGTCATCCGGTGAATTAATACCTGTATCAGAAATTTTGTGTTACAATAGATCGAAAAAAGATTGGACTTATTTAAGTGATATACCTAATCTTAAGAAATTAAATATTATTGCTGTTGATAATAATATATTAGTTATTTCCGATAAAATCAAATCAAATAATCCTGATGAAGAAGATCAATTTATTCCAATATCGAAATATGATTTAATGAATAAAAAATGGCTAATGATCAATCAAAAAGACATTTCAAATGTTCAAGTTGAAGAAACAAAAACAGATTCATGACATTTTATTTCATATTAAACTTTTCTCAGAAACAAAGAAATTTACATTGCAGATAACTCTTAGTCGTATATAAGAAAAGAAAATATGGTAAATGTAGACACTAAAGACAAGATAAACTAATTTGTTTTTAAGTTGTGGTATTATGAAGAAGTCCATCGAGAACACGAAGTCCACTCTGTGATATTGTGCCCATATTTTGACTATAACCACCGAGATTGTCTCGTGCAATCATCGACGATGTCATGTTAGAATAATTTCCATATGTAGGACGACGTGGTGCGGGTTGCTGTTGGCCAGAATAAGAGCCAAATGCTGATGATGATGCATTAGCATTGAATTGATGAACATTTGATCCCGAATAGACACGCGCTTTCGGTCGAATTTCAACAGCTGAGCTTGGTCGGAGACTTGATACCTAAACAAAACAATATCTTTTTATGTTGACTAAAATGAAGAGTTTTACAAATTTCTGATTGACTCTTGCTTGTGCACCACTACTTTTATCACTTGGTCCAACACGTTCATCATTAAAAACAACAGTAGGACGACGAATATAATAATTACTACTTCCATTATTTGTTGGTTTAGGTGGTGGTGGTGTTGGAGCTGAGCCTGAACGAAAACCTCGATTAGCTGCTGATGTTTTTTCACGCATTAAATTTCCATAATTGGTTTTCTTAATAAAAATACGAAAAAAAAAGAAGAATGCTTTCTGTCTCGTTTCTATAAAAGTTTACTTGATATAAATTTGAGCCTGTTGATAGATTTCTTTGTTTTGCGCTTGCTACTCTTGTTGGTTGTGTCTGAGTGGATTGTAGAGAATTATGGCTAGTAGATCGTCCGATCGATCCTGGATATGTTGTTGAAGAAGGTTTTGCATATTGTTGTTGTTGTTCAGTGGAATAATCATTATCAGTTGTATCTTGAGTATAAACTGGTCGAGTTTTATTATTATTATTATTATTATTATTAATGTTATCATTTGCATTTGTTTGTGTATAATTTGAATAAGCTCCTCGCGTAGGTTCATCTTGCTTTGATACAATTGCCGGTTGTTTGAAAGTATCATATTCCGATTGGTCAATGTATGCACTAGCACCACCATAACGTTGTTTTGGCGGATCCGCTGAATTCTCGCGTGATTTCAATGGTTGAGGGTCAGTAGCATTATTATTATTATTATTGGAATTTAAATTTAAATTTGAAGATGTCGGTGCTGGTGGTTTAGCTGATACTTTACGTAGTTGAATTAACTGTATTGATGAAAAATAGATAAATATTAGTATTGCTTTATATTTGAAATTATATTTACCTCATATAATTTCTTTCGATATTCATCAACAGTTAATTGAATATCATCACTTAGTTGAGGAACAACATCATAGCCTTTGACGAATTCTTCTTTTGAATTATGAAATCTGTTAAATTATGAGGAATAGATTTGTTAAAAGAAAATACGAAAAAAAGCAAACATACGAAACAACAAAACTATGATGAAGTCCTTCTTCAGCTGTTATTCTTTTATCTGGATTGAATTGAAGAAGACGACGAAGTAAATCAATTGATTCTTCAGCTGCAGTTGGAATTAAATTATCAAGTGATTTTTTTTGTCTAAAATTAAAAATGAGCGACACTTAAAAAACCAATGAAAAGGTTTGTTTCGCTTTGCAATCGATTCAAAGAGCGAGAAGTTATCAGCTAATTTTTCAAAAATGCCAAAAATAATGTCTCAGATAAGTGTAAATGCTTGATAAAATTTTTAAGATGAATGAGGAAATCTATTTTAAATACAACAACAGGATAGTCGTAGCATAACGGTCAGAGGTTCTCTCTTACTGGCGCATAGTACGAACGTATGTGTGGTGATAGAAGATATTATTATTTCGAACAAATTTTATTCTATAGTTTCGTTAATTGAAAACGTGATGTAGTCAAGAAAAAGAAAATACGACTCCACAAATGCATGATAACAATATCATACTGTCGATTCAACCTTTGAAAGTTTTCCTTATAACTGTCTAGTTATGAGTCACGCATTTATTTTCCGTCTAATGGCTTTTTATTCAGTCTTCAAAAGGAAAAATATATTCAGCATTTACCCAGATACAGCTCGTTCTAATACACTAGGTCCATATTGTGATGAAATACTTTCTATATCCGCTAGACTGGGTTTTGGAATATGTTGAAGAATACGTTCTAACTGATTAAATGTCGATGTTCCTTGAAATAATGGTTTTCCGAGCAACATTTCACCAAGAATACAACCTAAAAGTAGATGAAAAGAGCTTCTAGAACTAATATATTTCTTTTCAATAATATATATCAATTCAATTTTTTTTGAAATCGAGTAACATGACAAAAGTTTTTTGAAGTATGTCACAATTTAAGTGTAAATCAATATTGACATAAGACAACTACGATTTGTTCGTTTAATTCGTTCATAAAATAAAACATTGTTGAGGTCTCGCAGAATTTTTATTTAGCAAAGACAACCTAATGTATTTGCAAAGAAAACTTGTTTTTTTCCTACTTACCCAGTGACCACATATCGACTCCTTTTGTATATCTAAACGTACGAAAATAGAATTTTATTTATTCTCCTAGCAAACTTCGAAATATACTTTGATGATGCAAGAAGAATTTCCGGTGCACGGTACCATCGCGTTGCTAAATTAAAGAAAAAGGTTATGATAAATAATTCATCAAAACTTTGCTGACATTTACATACCAACATATTCTGTTAAAGCAGGATGCTGTGGATCTTCATAAACATGATTTAACGATCTTGCAAGACCAAAATCACAAATTTTAACTCGACATTGTTGATTAATTAAAACATTGGATGGCTTGATGAAAATAAAAAAGCTCTTGTTAAAACCTTTTTTTTTGCAATAAAAAAGCTTCTCTACCTTCATATCACGATGAATAACATTTGCTGAATGAAGATATTTCATTGCTTTTAATAATTGATACATAACGTAACGTTTATGTGTATCTTTAAGAATATTTCCTTTTCGTATAACATTATGAAGATCCGCCTCTGAATGCAAAATAAAAAGTTAGTTAATCAAGAAACCTCGAATCCCTTGTCTTTTTACCCATAAATTCAAAAACAAGATAAATATCTCGATCATTATCTGCCCGTAAAACATTGTGTAATCGTATCACATTTGGATGTTCACCAAATTCACGTAAGAAAACTATTTCCCGATATGTTCTCTAAAGATCGAGCAATATATTTATTTGATAGACGGTTTTTTTTTGTTTGTAAATTTATCTTACTTGAGCATCAGTTTGGTTGCGAAATGCATCGAATATCTTTTTTAATGCCACGACTTCTTTACTTCGTTTGTCGACAGCTTTCCATACGATACCATAGGCTCCTTTTCCAAGACGTTTTTGAATGTCGTAGTACTTTAATATATGAGTATCTACACCTAGAAGTCAAATATGAAAATAGGCATAGACTGAATACATTTCTATAACTTTAATTTACCATCGGACATTTTTAGATGAAAATTTTTGATAATTTGTTTACTTAAATTATCTTTATACGCATGTGAATTTTACACAAAAAAACAATACTTAGACAAGCTATTTTATTTTTTGAGTCAATAATTACAACCATTAGACGTTTTATCTGATCATGAATTACATGACAACAACCTCGAGATTGTAGCTTTAGCAATGGTGAACAAACAGAGGTCACTCTATGACCAAGACGGAACTCGTGTTATGAGAAAAAAAAGCGAAGAAAGGTATGATAATTCAATGCAGGTTAACAATTCATAGAATTCAAATGCGAATGATTATGTTCTTTTTCGTGAATAATTTAACTGATAAAAAGATAGAGGAAAGCATAAATCATATTATTGAATATATTTCTCTTTCTTCTCACGTACCAGCAGACTTTTCTGTTGTTTCTTTTTTTCTTTTGTAAAGTACGATAAAAAAAAGACTATTTTGCGAATCGATGAAGTCCCAAATAAATGTTAAAAGACGATAAAGAAGAAACAGTTACGTATATTAAAACATTTTGTATCTAGACATGAGTACGAGACGTCGAAGTGTCATTTCGCATGGCTTTAATCGACCTCAGTCTCGTGCATCCATAATATCATTGTATTCAATCGCGTATGATGAAGATAAACATCGGAAATTATCTCGAGTATTTTCAGCAATATTTGTTCATAAAAAAATCGATATATATCATGTTCTTGAACGACAAGAAGGTACACGTACACTTGCATATCATTTATTCGTCTTTGCATTAACTCTTGTTTCGCTTGTATTTGGTTCGATATTAACTATTGATGAATGGCGGCCAACATTAGATGCACCATTGTACTATGGTGAATTAGGTTTATTTGTATTCTTTGCTTGTGAATTACTATTGCGGATATGGTCTGCTGGCGGTGTTCTAAAATATCGAACATGGGTTGGTCGTCTAATTTTTATTAGTCGACCATCTATTATACTTGACATATTAACATTATTTGGTTTCACTATATCATTAGCAACCGGTTTGAAAACACGAGAATTTCCATCGTTAACATTAAAATTTTTACCACCTCTACAAATGATTCGATTTTTACGTGTTGATAGACAATTGTCATCGTGGAAGATTTTAAAAGGAATTATTGTAACACATCGCCAAGAACTGACTGTTACATTAGTTATTGCGTTCATGTTTCTTATTACTGGCTCTTATCTCCTTTATGTTGCTGAAACACCTATAGATCCGACGTTAAACAAGGGAAACTTTAAATCAATTGCTGATACTATGTGGTTTTCAATTATTACGGTAATGTTTACTTAGAAAGTCGAAGCATTGTTTTTTCCTTTCTCTTTATTCATTATCAGAGATAAAAAGTATGCATGTCCACTGTATAAAAAAAACTGTTTTTGCATAGTTCTATTATAGAAAAGAACAAAAAAAGAATAGAAATATGTATATATTTTCAAGCTACGTTGCACTTTTTTTGATTTAATTTTTATGCCGTTCTTGATAAACGATTTTTTTTATACTGTAGTATCTCGCGAGATAATCCTTCTCATACTGTTCTATGTAGATAATTTATTGAATGATAAATCAATCTTTTTAGATACAAATGTCAAATGAGGATGGAAGAAAAACTAATAAAACTATTCTATTTTCTACCTTCATTGAACTATAAGAAATAAAATAAGGATCACACGTGACGGACTACACAAGGTTTATTACTTAAAACAAAAATTAGAATACGACTGTACAAAGGAACACACGAGAAAATGTAAACTTTTAACCATAAAAAACAGAGATACACTAAATTTGCTGGATTAACAATCGAATAAATGAGGCTTTCTCTGGCAATTATGACTTACCTATAAAATATAACCAATAGGAACATTTTTATTCAGGATCAAATAAAAAAAAAACTTTTTAACTCTCGACTTCTAAGGCAGCCTAATATTTTCTAAAGCTATAAATACTCATCATAGATGACAACGATTGGTTTCGGTGACCTTTTTCCAACAACATATATTGCGAAAATGATAACGACAACAATTTGCTTTCTTGGTATTGCATTTTGGTGTTTACCAGCAGTTATCATTGGAAGTGTATGTACACCTTTTTTGTTTTCATTTTCTTTCATCATATTAATATTTTTTATCGTTAATAATTCAAGGGTCTTGCTATACAAGTTCAAGCGAAAAAACGTGATGAAGCGTTAAGTCGGCTTGTACCTGCTGCTGCTACTGTTATACGTAATTGGTGGCGCCTTCGATGTGTTCATCATCGTGATCGCTTCGTATCAACATGGAAAATTTACTCAATAATTCCGCGTCGTACTCATGTTCATCCAGCATTAAAACCTAATCTTGAGAAAGCTGTATCGATAGTTGAATCTACAGGACAGACGCCTACCACTGTGGATTCATCACGATTTAATTTTACAAATTTACCAACACCAACAACACAACCAAATTATATGCGACGAAAACCAATAACAAGTATTGAAGATTTACCAAAACGCTATGTAACAGCTATAAAAATTATTCGTACGTTAAAATATTCGGTGGCCTGTAAAAAATTTCAGGAAGCAAAACGTCCAATTGATATAAAAGATGTTGTTAAAGAAAATACTCAAACAAATAATCGTTTATCAACTATGTTCGTTGATATACAGCGGCGTTTAGATTTAGTATTAGGTACAACAAAACCAGCATCATATTTATCAGATGTAGAAAAACGACAATTAAGTTTAAGTGCTCGAATAGAAAAAGTTGAAGAAATAGCAAAACGATTTGAAACAAAATTAAATCAGTTAGAACAATTAGCATCGTCATTGGTCAAAAATGGATAAGAAAAGCCGAGAAGAACTTTGCTTGTTTCTTTTTTGTTTTAAATATATACATGATAGTTTTTTTAAAAATCAGTTTTTTGCAACTAAACAGCTGAATGAGGTCGTACGACTTTTGTCGATGGCATCGATCTATCGATTGGAATCGACCGAATTGATTCTGATTCTTTTATAGTTATTGTGGGCTCCCAGTCGTTATTGAATAATTCTGGATTGGAGAGTTGTACGATTGATAATTCTAATTTGGTTTTCTCGGCTATAAACGATGCCATTGATAGTTTTGGCTTGTCTTGGTTAATTCGATTCACTTGTTCGATAATCAATGAACGTGTACGTTCCAATTGATGTTGTTCTTTACGTAAAATATTTAAACGAATATTTTTTTCACGCTCATAATATTTTAATCGAATATCAAGAAGTCGATCTTCGCGTTTGTTTTTCGCACGAATTTCATCACTTAATTCGCTGTAACGTTCACGAAAGGATTCACTGCTTGAATTCTAGGCAGAAAATAAATGAACGAACAAAACAAATTCATTGTCTCTGTGTGAGTTTACGAATTTGAAAAAATCAAATTTGTATATTACCGATTTAGTTCGAGCTAGCAGTGCCATGGCTATTGATAGATTTTAAATCGAAAATATTTTTCTGTTAGAACTTCGTTAAGATTCATATGCCGCTGAAATTCGAATGCGAAATTCTATTTCATCTTTTTGCCTCTCGTGTACGATTCGATCGTAGAACATAACAGATGAAAAGAATACAAATTACGTTGCTGTTTCTCATTCAACTTTATGTACTTGATGTTTGATATCTTTTATCACTTAATGTCAATCAATTAAGTAATTCGAGAGAAGTAGAAGTTTTTCGTTTCTTCTTTATACCTAAGTCAAGTTATATTGTTTTTCTTCACCACAGTTCGTGTGCGTGATTTCTATCGTTTTTGATTGCTTGGTTGTAAAGAGAGATTGAGACATAAATCAAATTCTAATATCGCCTGTGAAAGTTTCTATTGAAGAAAAATTCAAATTTCCACAAGTTCTCATGCACAACGCTACAGTTTGGCGAAGCATAGTAATACTGTGTAAATTAATTTATCTCTTATAATTTAATATTTACTGAATATTTTTCAATTCAAACAAAGTTTTGAAACCATATGTCTGGTGCAATTAGAATCATTAAAAAACAGAAATGTAAATAGAGAGGAGCAATAACCACACCTTCAACTTTCCATTAAAATCAGCATGAAAACTGTCTGACATTTACTCGTAAGTGTGTCAAAGTCTAAAGTGCAATGAAAGAAATTCTAGTAGGTTCCAACTAAAACAACAAATGCTTGATTGTAACTATTAATTAGAGGATAAATTTCGTATGTTTCTAATTGAAATCAACATACTGATTTCGTTTTTGTAGACGCCGACTAGTCAAGTATAAATTCAATATTTTATTTGAAATCTATTGCTAATTATTATCAAGATCACTTTTAGAAAAATATTTTAATTGAATAGCAATCATTGCATTTCTATATATCTTTCTATTGGTCGATCAAGTCACCTTAGTTACCAGCTACCAAAAACAAATAAAAACTGATTACAATTTAAAAACAAAAATCTATACATGTTCATTCAGATTGAGAAGATCTATTGAAAAATATTCACGTACCTGACTGTTTAATTTAGAAATTGAAACGAGAACCAATTAGGTAATAATCTTTTAAGTTAAATATAAAAAACCTATGATATGATATTTGTTCGTTTATTTAGTTTATGATCGAAATGATAAATGTAATTAAGCGTATACGTACTCTTTCTGGTGATGATTTGATATCCTTGATTAGTAATAATTAATTCATATGCAGGAAGAGCAATCTTATGTTCTAGTAAACAATAGTTAATCAGAAGTATTGATTAGTAAATGATGAAATAATTTATACGAACGACTACCTTTCTTCTATGTCTCACTAATGATCTGATTTTTTAGATTTAAATAAAAATGAGACGATCAAAATCAAAAACTCCGTCAGCTGAAGGAAAGAGTAAACGTGTATCGTCTGGTCCACGTGTTGATTGGGTACCACCACATCCAGCAATCGGGGCACAGGTAAACTAAAACAAGAAAATTATTTGATTAGATTATGTCATCTTGTTTGAAAACAGCTATTAGCATCACTGGAAAATCATCCACTAGATGAACGAGATATTGCCGGTGTTCGTCTTTCACGTGCTGTTTATATGCATTTTACCGGACAGGAAATTCGTGACCTGAAAGAAGTATTCGATTTTTTCGATTATAAACGTCGAGGGTTTGTAACATAAACTACTTTCATAAATATAAACTTCTTGGATTTTTCTAAAACAGAAATCTCAAACCAAAAGAAGCTGTCTATGCGATGAAAACATTAGGTGTTAATATGTCTGTTGATCAATGTGCTACTTATATTGAAAAAGAAACCCGAGATAATTTGTAAGTTCCATATGACGATTTCTTTTTATTGTATGAGGATTTATTAATAGAACACTTGATTTTGGAGAGTTTCTTATTCTACTTGCCACTCATCAAACTGAAGAACAAGATGATTATGATGAGTTAAATTTAGCTTTTAAATTATTCGATCTTGGTATGAGATTTGATTCTTTTAAATATTCAATTTATTTGTTCGTTTTTTCGTTAAAGACGGTTATGAATATCTTGATATGAATACTCTTCGTCGAATTAACGAGGAGACAGGCTTGAATTTGAGTGAACTCGACTTACAATTAATGTTTCAAGCAGCTGACCGTAATGGTGATGCTCGTATTGATCGTCATGAATTCGTTCGAATGATGAGACAAACAAATTTATTTTCGCGTTAAATAATATTTTCTTTGTTACTATGAAATGAAATACAATGTCTATAGCCTATGAAAATGATTGGACATGTCTTGATAAATATTGATAGAAAACGTTTTGATAATCAAATAAATATTTGACTCTTTTATCCTTCCGTCTTCGTATAACCCACAAGGTATTTTTGTGTGTCGCTCATTTTTGCATTACATTTTCAGTGTGTAATCCTGATACAATGCTCATGCATCTGTTGAGGCAGCGATCATTCATCCAAAGACTATTAATATCGACTGAAGTAACTTGAAATCAGAAACATAAGAGAAAATAATTACTCATGATTAAATAGCGTGTGGTATTGATAAATTGTTTTCTTTCCTGATTAAAGTCAATATTAATACTTAGACAAGGTTGTCTCGACACAGTCATGCTAATTCTGATCTCGTCTAGTCTCGTATTATTTTGTTCAAGCGTCAAATTCTCCCTTAAATCTTAATTAGAGAAATAGATTAATTGTTGTAGTTGAAATTTATGATAAATAATCGATATTGTCTCGATCTATTTTAGCTCTTTTGTGAATTAATTATATAATTTAGCTTTTATTCTTGATCGTTATTTCTTTTTACTAGGCCTTCAGAGACAAAAAATATGGCGCTAAAATTTTCATGCGATCTATCAATGGGATCTTTTTCATCTAATTTGCTTACGATTCTTCATTATAGATATTCTTCGAAGATTTCTATTTCGAAAAAAAAACCTATTCAATTAAAGAATGAAAATAAATAAATCCTTTCATGAATTTATTCAACACTAGAGGTTTTAATGATTAGAAAAACTAAATATAAGCGATGTATCAGCTTTTATTCATTATAAAGTAATTATCGAGAAAGTGATAAGATATTCATATGGCAAAATATTTGAGACGTATTTTTGATTGAATTCGCATATTGATCAAGAACTAAATTCGACCATTCTTGTATTATGTTACTCTATAATTCAAAATGCAGTTGTTGGAATATAATCTCATGAATTGACGCTTAAGTGTTTCGCTTTTTACATATTATAGAGAATTGAATGAAAGTTAGCATATATTAATAATTTTTCCATGAAAGAATTCGAAGTAAACTATGCAGAATATGACATTAATTAGAATCCGAGATCAGCGAAAAACGGTCTGAACGATAGAGAACAAACTTGTTTCCATTTGTGCTTTATCTAATTATATCTGCTGAGCAGTTCACATGATAATATTTTCAAAGTACGTTACTATGAGTTTACGTTTGTTGTATATTAAAAGTACCAGATGGCCACTGGCACATTAGCTCAATTAACAAAATTCAATTATCTTAACTTTTAATTTCGCTACTACATATTGTCTGTTCACATTTTGTACAACTGCTGGTTTCCTTAATAATATTTGCTCTTAGATACTTTTCGCTGGTTTTTGTTTTGAATAGAATTTATCCTTTCCGGAACCATGCACCTCATTGCATCATCAGAACTTTTTCTTCCCGATAAGATTAATTGTTGTCTGTTGATATTGAACTTACTATCTCAAAATACTATTGCTGCCATTAAGACATCTCCTGACATCCTAAATAAATAATCTGAATAAAATTATCCTATTTTTATTCAGACGTAAACATATGTAAAAATTATGTAATTGAGTGAAAACGTCATTGTGAATGACAGCTTTCTACGAATTAACATTTATATCGAAGTTCGATAATAAAATTTTATTGCCAATATCGATTTTCAAAGATCTTTTGAGTGCGCATTGATTCTTCAAAATTTTAGACATGCCGCCATTCGAAGATTGTTTTTAATTAAAATATCAAAAAACAAGACGTTTCTTCACTCCTTTTATCTTATAGAAAATGAATGCAGCAGAAATTCAAAGGCTTGCTTAATATAACGTCAAGCTGAGTTCCGTCTAGATTCCATTCTAGTTCAATAGTTTTTTAATGCGATGCGAAGCAGAAGCATTTATGTAGTCCGTCACGAGTTTTTTAATGCGATGCGAAGCAGAAGCATTTATGTAGTCCGTCGCGAGTTTTTTCAATGCGATGCGAAGCAGAAGCATTTATGTAGTCCGTCGCGTGTTTTTAATGCGATGCGAAGCAGAAGCATTTATGTAGTTCGTCGCGAGTTTTTTTTTTATTTTTTACTCACTTGACGTACGCATCACAAGTCGTCGTTTTGCGACGCGATGATCTCGAAAACCGAAAATCACAGAAAACTCGTTGAAACGTGAGATCGAAGCATCAAGATCGAACCTTTTACATCTGTTTTCGAATCTTTAAACTGAAGTTCCGTTCACTCAGACATGTGGTTCCAAAATGACGAAAATGAAAGAAATTTATCAAGAGATAATTAAAGGTGACGTCATGAACATATGTTAGCCACTATAGCCTATTCATTTACAGCTGATCTAAGATAATGAATCATGGAGATAATTAATCGATCAATCGAAATCGATTCTTAAGAATGTATCACTAAGTAAGAATAGAGTTTTCTGAGTGATGAATTTCATCATGTCGACATAAAAAAGTTTTCAAGATTTCTCTGAATTGAAGACTTTTCCTGGATCGAGATTCCTGCTTCGCGTCGCATTTCGTATTCGAGTGAAACTTGAATACCATCTAGTTTTTTCTTTCTTTCAAACTTAAGTACGCATAAAAAGTTCTTATTAAGTGACGCGATGATCTAAAGGCCGTAAATGCTAGAAAATCCATTCAAACTAGATATGAAAGTATCGAGATCGAACTTGTTACATCTTTTTCCAATTTTCAATACTAGGTTTTGTTCGCCTAAAAATATGATTCGAAAATGATGATTTTGAAAGGTTTTATTGTTTTATAGTTTCGCGCTAATCAAAATGACGTCATCAATAGTTGTTAACCAATAGTCTATTGCTTTAGATCTGATTCAAGATAATGATTCATGAAAATAATTAATCGTTCAATGAAAAAATCGTTAGAAAACTGGTTGCTACATTTTCAGAAAGATCATCTAGTGATGAATTTCAAAATGGTCGATTTAAGAATAGTGAATGCGAAATTTTTATTCAAAATTCGTATACGGAAATTTAAAAAGAATAAACGTTTGTAATGGATCTTAAAGTGTATCATTTATTTTTAAATCTTATTCTCGCTGCTTTCGAAAATTCGGCTCGTGTGCTTCGCACCGCATTTCGTATTCGAGTGAAACTTGAATATCATCTAGTTACTATCAGGAAAAGATTTCTTGAAGTATATTAAACTATTCAAGCATGTCGTACATAAGCACTTCTAACCTTGAACAAAAATAGCACATTTTTGTATCGCTTCCAGAAATATCCGCAGTTATTTGTCTTCGTTTTCAGTCGAATTCCTAAAACTGTATTGTCTGGGAAGATCTCTCTCTCTCTCTCTCTCTCTCTCTCTCTCTCTATTAGAACATCAGAAAAATTGTTCTAAATTGTGATGTTAAACATTCTAATTTATGTATTAATAAATTATCCATATTTAAATAAACGACTGTATTCATAATATCGTTTCATATGAACGCATGAGAAATAAACCGAAATAGAAAATAGACTATGGAACACAAAGCATCGAGAAGTATACTCAGATAATCTTGGTGAATTTTATAAAGTAAAACAAAAGTTACCTGAATTACGAGAGTATCTGGTGTATATTGTTTTCAGAAGTATTGATATTCATGAGCATCGTCAAAGGTTCTAGTTGAATCCATTACGTAAATACGAAGAGTCAACTGAGGCAAATCGAGTGTTCAAGTTTTTTAATGCGGAAACTGAGTAAACTTCTCAAAGATGGCTCACAGGATATAAAAATTTGTATCGTCGTGATCAGCTCATTGAATTACTCTACATATTGATGTAAAGATAATTCAAATCGGATAATCACATTTGAGAGTAATTTTTCATTAGGTAAAAGTGATAGTTATGAGTATTATGTGTCCATGTCTACCATGAAAATGAAGAATGGAATCTTTCCTTTATCACTAGGATAGAAAGCAATTAGTTCATTTAAAAAAACATGACCAAATTATTAAGATTCTGTTTTTGTAGATGACTTTTGGGACACTCTGTATACTTCGTATAATATTCAATTAGTATGCATATCTCGATGTAGAAACTACTTTAGTTCATGCATAATGTTAAATCTACCCTCTGTGACAATATGCTGAGATGATAGCGCGACATGCACTAGTTGTTTCTAATGAAGTGATTGGCGAGACAAAATATCAAGTGGACCATAAATAGTAATCGAATAGAAACTAAAAATATCTCCTTACTGTAAAGATCAAATACACTGATCTTTTCTTTTTTTCCCTCGATGAGTGATAGATGCGTATTCGAAGTTTCTGTTCATCAAAACAAAATCATTGGTTTTTCAAAAAAGGTTTACAGTTTATTATTATTATTAATGTTACACGCCGATTCTTGTATCAAAATATGTTTTTAAAAAGTCAAGTTTTGTTCTTAGAATTCGAGTCATACTTAGAATATGATTTACTTTAGGTGAAAATCAAATATCTTAAAAATTCAGTTCTAATTCTCATGTGCGAACATAATTTTTAATTTCTTCAAGTAAAGAAAAGAAAAAAGGCGACACATTTTTCGAATAATAAATGGTGTTAATTCTATCTACATAGTATTTGTTCAAGTTGTTATTTTTTTCTTTTTTGAATAAAAATTTTTACTAGAGACAAAAAATGATCAGCTCAATCGGTTCTGACAAAGTCGAAGCTTTCCAATTTGTTTGTCCTTCAATTATTATTTATCCTTGAAACTATTTATAAATTCATAAGATTTTCAAATAAGACAAGCCTCTACTTTAAAAACAAAGAGGTATATTAGTGCTTCTATATCATAAAAAGAAAAATAACATATACTTCTACAAATTATTCAATCTCTTATTTTTTGATGTGATCTTATCATCGCGAAAAAGTACATGTTGTTTCATAGTTGAGTCAGGAGAATTTTTAGTTCCATTATGTTGTATATCAATAGAATTCAACGATGGGGTTAACGATATATGTGCTTCATCAGCTCTATGGTTAAATATCACAGTTGATGAAGGTTGAATTTTAATAATAGAATTTCTCGTTTCAATATGTGTATTATTATTATTATTACATTCTAAATGATTGTAATTATCATCATTATTGTATTGTTTATTAATTAATCGTAATGCTGTCGATGGTAATCGGTCTTGTCTATTTTGGATTTTTGATGGACATAACAGTTCTGTGAATGCATCGCGAAATGCTCTTGACATGCGACAATAAATAAAAAAATTGATTGGATAAGATAATAAAACGGCAAAATTAAGCAATTGAACAGAAAAGTTTAAAAATCCCGATAAAAAATTTGATTTCAATAATTGGAGCAAACCAGTTATAATCAAATGAAGTGCCATTGGAACTTCCACAATTAAGAAAATAGTTACTACGATAACCTATAAAAACAAAAGCAATAGAACATCAAAATAAATAAACAGAAAAAATAAAAAGATCTTGTTTTCTCTTTCTTGTGCCTTTACATACAAGCATTAATGTCACACTTGTTTGTTCCTGTGCGCGAGCTTCATGACTACGTTTTCTCATGAGTCTAGCTCGATTTTGTTTAGCTGCTTTCATCCGGTGTACCAAAATAGCATTTAATATAACGAGTATCGTGCACGGGCCAACATTAATTAATAAAGCACGTAACACTGAATAAACAGAATATAATGTGCTGAATCTTGGATCTTTAGAGTAATCACGCACAATACATGCTTCAAATGTTTTTGTTGAATCCAACAATGAACGAACTGTTATTGGATGAAATGAACCCTCGAGAAACATTGGTACGGCAACAATAAGTGCAAGAAGATTAACACATGCTATTGCTTTAAGAGCCATTCGTACTGTACACCAGTGTTTCGCTTTTCCCGAATGACACACATATATGTATCGTTGAATAGCTAAGACAACGGTTACCTGAAAGAATATTTTAAGAAAAACAAAGCATAATATATCAGTTCTGTCACTTCGCACGGATTTCTTCTTATAGGATTAGATTATTGTAGATAAATAATGGAGCTGATTTCAAGCGAAAATTTACATCGAAAATAGATGCAAATCTTGCACATCAGTGTTCCACCCTTGACGCTTCGAAATTTTACTATTTCCTCTGTCGAACTATTTATTAACTATGGTTATCGAGATAATTTTATGCATGATTACTACTAACTCACCCAAATAGAACATGTGTGAAAAATAAATGGAAGAACTTCATAATTAACTCGATGGAACCACCCATAATTATAAGGCCAGTAATCATTACAATTTTTAAATGTGAACACATATATGCAGGCTGGAAAAGGAAATAATCCCGTCAGAGTATCATAAAGTGCGATCGCCAAAAGTAGAATATTTGTTGCTGAACGAAGGTGTTTTTGTAGTAAAACAACAGCAATTAATGAATTTAATACCGTTGAAATAATAATAATTAACGGTGCACAAATACCTTGTAGAATAATATAATAGGATGGTGGACATTTACCAGGATAAAATGGATACCAATCAAAATTTGTTCGTAGGGAATTAATACCACTTGCTTCAATTATTGATGATGTTTCATTCGGTGAAATTACCATTGCGTCGAAATCAAATGGTAACAGAAGACTAATTGTATTGTTATTATCACCAGCGTTAAACCATCGTCTAGAATAAATGAAGCTTGTTGAAATCAAAGAAAGTCCATGCAATTAATATAATTGAAAAAAGAAGAAATTTAAGCTATCTTTGAAAATTAATCTTTTCAAGTGTCAATCTCATGCATGTCTGAAGTCTTTCTTCTTTCGTTCGTTTTTTTCACTTGTGGATTGTTTGACAAATTGACAAACAATCAAGGTTAGATCAAGTGTTATACAAAGAAGCAGAAGAAGAAAATAGCTAGGGGTAACTAATATTGTTCGTGCACGGAAGCAAGTAAGTAGCATAGAATGGACATACATGAATTACTATCAGAAAATGAACAAGAACATTAGAAATGATAGAGATTGACAAGAGAAAATGTTCACGACAATGTTCCGCAACATTCAATCCTTGGGGCGAGGCTTTCTCAACAGAAAAAGAGAGAGAGAGAGAGAGAAGAAACAAAAAGAAACACAAAGATAAACTGAAAGAAAGTCATCAATTACATTCTGCTATAATACGGTTGATGTAGAAGAAAACATGGTTCAAATCGTAAATCATTACTGTGCCATGCTTTTTCTGCCAAATCAATTCAGTTTCTTCTTGTCCTTCCTTTTCTATCTCATGAGTACGTGCATACACCTTGATGTTTTTGCTAAATGTCTTATGCAGCATTAGGCAAAGATTTTTCTCATTTCACAGAACTATTTTAGTAACTATATAATAAGTCGTTGATAATTGTAACAAATTGGCGAGTGATGAATGATAATGTCAGATACTCTGCCTACGCGATCTATAAAATAATTCACCAGCATCATAATATATATTAGAAATTAATCTAGTGTGTAACATGCTAAGAATTTCTTTATATAATAGATGTCAAACATGATAAAATTGATAAAATATAAAATTATGAAAATAACGAAGGAAAAAAATGCTGTTTCCTTCCAAGTTTATACTCTTCGGTTGTTGTTCGTTTTCGAAAAAAAACAAACGTGATTGTGATATGTATATTTATGTAGTGTTGATTTAGTCGTTTTAGAATGCGTTAAGTTGTTGATGAGTGAGACAAGTCAATGGTATGTTATTTATTCATCTATATAGTGTTTGAATCAAAAATAAGATAGAGACACGCACGCATACCGAAAGTCAATAATACAGAGTTTACCATGATAAATATTTTATTTATACTTTTAGCAATATTCAAATAAACGAATGCTTTTGTCTACTTGCACGTTAATTAATTCAATTAAAAGAAGAAGAAAAAAAAAGAAATGGTCTCATGTGTATTTCTTTTTTTTGTAAAGATTAGTCATTACTTTTTAATGAAATATTTCGTTTCCAATTATTCTATTCGCGATTTTGACACTAAAGTTATTTTTACACGTCCTTTCGCCATCTTATATTGTTTTTCTATAGAAAATGTTAATATTTCCCTCTGCGTCTTCTCATTTCTTTTTGCTTTTTCATTTCTCTTCATTATATATTTTTTTATTAATCAGAAATATCAAATTTGCATATATTTAGCTGGGCATAAAATATTGACAAATCCCCTGATAATTTCCTTCGCTGTTCTATACAACTATCATCGTATAACTTTCCTAATTATTTACTTGGTGCACAGTGTGAATTCATACAACGCTTTTCTCAATGATCTAGACTAATGGATGACTGATCGTATTTTGAAACTATAAAAAGCTCTTGTTATTCGAGTCGCTATAACAGACTGAGAAAAAAGTAGGATGTTAAAGAAACGCATTAGTCGTAAGTAGCTACGAGTTGCTCTAGTGTTTTATTTTTCAATCAAAATTGCTTCCGACAGCTGTAGAGTGGTGAAATGCAGGTTTTTTAAATTGAAATCATTTGATGTCGACGGCAAATAGCCAAATCTTTAGATCTACTAAGGCCAGTCATCGTCTTTTGTTTTATTTTTTTTTCTTCTTCTTTGGCTTTACATACTTTGTAAGTTCTACTTTTCGATTGTTTTCTTGTGTATTATGACTTCTATTGTGCAGTTAGCGCATTTAGTATCACTTAACGAGAGAAAAAATAACTAGGTTTCCATTCATTTTTTTAACTGAACACAAAGAAAACAAAAATTCATGTATATCTTACAAGTACAAAATGAATAGAATATGATAGTTATAACTTATCAATATATATACAGTGGCCGTCAAAATTATCCAACCACTTAAAAAAAAAAGATTTTTTCTTATTCCATATTTGACAAAAAAAAGTGACTCGAGGTTTGTAACTTTTACCATGTTGTAGACCACAGTGTCTAGTATGTTTGTGTTTAGTTTCATTTGAGAGCTTCGTGTTGTTGACTTTTTATTAAAATGAAAAAAACGTATGTCATATATTTTACGCATCAAAATTATCCGACCACTTGTGTTTTTGTTCTATCTTTGCGCTCATCTAAATATAAAGTTTTCTTTATGTTACATTATTCGAAAGAGAAAAATGTTTTCTACACGATGTGCTAGTTTTTTTTTGCATTGGTATACAGAAAAAGTCTAAAAAATAGTGTTTTGAGCAGTCAGCTACGACTTTATGAGTAAAAGGCTCTGGACAGACAATTGTTTTTACTAATGATCGGGCAACTCTGATGAATAATGCACTGTTAGGAAGTGCATTAAAAACTACATTATATAGGATGTTTAAACGAACACGGTGTGACGTCTAGTTGAGATGGCTGGGTCTAAAATAGATACCAAATCGGTATAGTTGTCCGGTGACCACACACTTCGTTGCGATAAGTTAGTCGTATATAAAGTAGAGAGTACATTAATTAAATTAGGTGATTTTGTTCAATATGTTATTCAATTAATCACTTGCATAAATGTATTCCTTTCCAATAATAACACTCTCTTTTATTATTACACCTTCTTTTTTCAAAAATGACAGACATGTATTCCAGTACAATAATAACACTCTCTTTTATTACTACAATTTCTGTTTTTTTTCCATAAAACAACAGAAATGTTAATTTACAATTCATTTTTTTTTAAATTGAAATTACCCAGAACTTAAAGTTAGGTTTATAATAAATGTAATTAAAATATAGCTTTACCTGTAAAAATTTTTATTTTTTAAATTCCAATTTAGAAAATTATTTCTCGCCTTAATATTTTTTTTAAATAAAAATGTGTTACCTCTCAAAAATGATGACAAAAGAACGTATAGAATTTATTCGGGTTATTTATTTTTAATGTTCGTAGCATCGAAAACCTAAAATTCCATTGCAAAAGCTTCCAAAGCTACTTCATCCAATAGTCGAGTTACTTTGCAAATCACAGAAAATTATCCTAGAAATTGCTGAACGAATTATACAACTCAAGAGAGAGAGAGCACATTTTTCTTTCATTTCTTCTTGGCTTTTCTTAGTTCCAGATTTCATCAGAAATCGTCTTCTTAAAAGACTTGAGTTGACTTTCATTTGATAGCAGACTATTTGCAATATCACAGAAGAATTTTACAGAACTAGATCATTTTTTCTTCAAAACAAATCTATTATCCATCATATCGATCTACTTATTATTCCATAGAGTCTACATTTATGAAGATGATTAATTGAATAACATATTGAACAAAATCACTTAATTCAATTAAAGTACTCTCTCCTTTATATACGACTAACTTATCGCAACAAATTTTTATTGCGACGAAGTGAACGCGACGAAGGGATTGCGACGATATGTACTAGTGCCAGTGGTCCATATATTGCCTCTTTATCCAGCTGAAAAAACATTTGGAATTTTTAAAAAGTCCTTAATTTAGTAGAGAATTGTGTTCTTTACGTAGGCTAATTTTAACAATCTGAAACAAATTGCGTTGTCAAGGTTGAGAATGAATTTCTCAGCAAATATGACAGATATAAAAACTCACCCATAGCTTGAACAAGAATTTGAATACATATTAAATGAAATAGAAAGTTATTGAATCAGATTAAACCTGCGATTTAACTTGAAATTCAATGCTGTATCCATTGATACATCGTCTGCATACATCGCAGCGCTTGCCAGGATTCCAGCGAAAAAATTATTTACAAAAGACGCTCCCCTCGGGACCTATCAGGAGACTGCGATGTGTGATCGTGTGTTAAAATCCCCTCAGAGTTCATTCAATATGGCCCTAGGTTGTGATGAGATGCTTCGGTGAATTTTGATTTCTATCATATTTGTTGAAAAACTCATTCGCAACCTTGAGAATGCCATCTGTTTCAGATTGTTAGAAGTAGCCTATGTAAAGAAAACAATCCTCTACTAAATTAAGAGCTTTTTAAAAATTCCAAATGATTTTTCAGCCGGATAAAGAGGCAGTATATGGACAACTATACCGATTTGGAATATATTTTAGACCCAGCCATCTCAACTAGACGTCACACCGTGTTCGTTTAAACATCCTATCTAATCTAGTTTTTAATGCACTTCCAAACAGTGCATTATTCATCAGAGTTGCCCGATCATTAGTAAAACAAATTGTCTGTCCAGAGCCTTTTACTCATAAAGTCGTAGCTGACTGCTCAAAACACTATTTTTTAGACTTTTTCTGTATACCAATGCAAAAAAAAACTAGCACATCGTGTAGAAAACATTTTTCTCTTTCGAATAATGTAACATAAAGAAAACTTTATATTTAGATGAGCGCAAAGATAGAACAAAAACACAAGTGGTCGGATAATTTTGATGCGTGAAATATATGATATACGTTTTTTTCATTTTAATAAAAAGTCAACAACACGAAGTTCTCATATGAAACTAAACACAAGCATATTAGACAGTGTCTAGTAGACACTGTGGTCTACAACATGGTAAAAGTTACAAACCTCCAGTCACTATTTTTGTCAAATATAGAATAAGAAAAAAAATTTTTTTTTAAGTGGTTGGATAATTTTGACGGCCGCTGTATATGAATGATTATTGAGACTAATGAATCATTGTTATATAACAATAAGGAA